TGGACTGCTCCTGCACTACCACCCGAGCCCACTGGCCCAGCGCATGCCCCTCAGGAATACTCTGGCTCCACTGTGATGCCAGGCAGGGAGTGGGGTGGAGGAACTAGCTCCCCACCTCCTAGACAAAGCATCAAGACCAGGGTTCCTTTGTTTCCGGCCACACCCAGGGACCTGGCCAGACTGCTCAGCCCCAACCACCGGCCCCACCCTGCCGCAGCCCAGCCTCAGGGGAGTTAACCCCTCCGGGGCCGCAGCCTCCCAGTGTCTCCCCATAAGGTTATTTTTAGCTGCGGTGAGGGTGGTAGCCGCGCTTCCATCATGGCGCTGTCTCCGGACTTCTACTCCCCCAGCACGGCCGGGGGCAGCGGTGCTTGGTCTTTTCCTTCCTCTGGCGGGGAGGACCCGGCTGCCAGGGGCAAGCGCGGGACGGAGCCGGGACAGCGCGCGGGAGGCTCAGCTCTCCCTCCGCGTGCGAGCGCGAGGGTTGGGGAGGGGGTTCGGACACCCGCGCCCCTCCCTCTTTTGTTCAGCTCCGCATCCTCCGCGTCCACGCCATCCTCCAGCACATCCCGTGGGGGGAGGGGGCTGCACGCCCGCGGGGAGAGGGACACAAGGCTCCAGCCCCGCCCCGCCAGGAGGGCTCCCCCACCACTGTCCCCAGAGGCTGGGGGAGGGGGCTGAAATGCCAAGACCGGCCCCGCCCCACCCGTGGCGACGCAGGAAGCCTCGGGGGCCGCCCCCGCAGTCCCCCCCGCGGATCTGGACCCTGACGGCGACCACCCGCAGCTCACAAAGAAGGGCGCGGGGCGGGGGCGGCTTACCGTGATGTGCGGAATGCTCTTCTTGCCCTGGTAAGACATGGCCCTCTCGGGTGCCCCGGGCCGGGCCGTGGGACCTGTGGGCTGTCTGACTCGCTCGGGCTCTCGCGGCCCGCTCCCCGCGGGCGTAGCGACAAAGGCCCGGGAGCGGTGGAGAGAGGGACGGAGGCTCCGCGCCCGCGCCCGCCCGCGCGCCGCCCGGCAGCTCAGCCCGCCGCAGCTCGCTGCCAGCACCGCCCGGCTCGGCGCGGAGGGCGGGAGGGGGCGGGAGCGGCGAGGCGGGGGAGGGGGCTGCAGGCCCACAGCTCCTCCCGGCGGCGCGGAGCGGAGCCCGATTCGCCCCTCTCGGCTCGAACCAGGAAGCGCTTCCCTCCTGATCCCCACCCCGCCCCCGCCGCACCGCCCAGCCCGCCGCCCCTGCCGCGCGCACGCCCTCGGCGGGCGGGCCTCGCTCTCGCGAAGGGGCGAGCGGGGCGCAGATTCTCCCCGAAGACCCAGACGGCCTGCGGGCGGGCAGGGCCACAAGTGTGCGGCACGGCATCTGGGCGCCTCTCGGAGAATCTGCGCGGGGGGACGGGACGGGGCCGGGGGCCTAGGACCGGCCCAAGCAGCCAGGAGCGTTCTTGGCCCTCCAGGATCGCGCCCAATAGCCACCCCCCTCCGGCTCTCCTACCACGGCCTCCGTTTGTCCATCCCCGGCCCCCCAGAATGGACCAAGCACTTTTCCATCCCTACTCCAAGGGTTTGTTCGCGCCGAATGCGCTCCCTGAATAGCCTGGCCCGGACTAAAGGTTACCCATCCTCCCAGCCCCGTCTCCAATACTTTCTCCTCCATGCGGCCTCTCCTTGCCCTTCCATCTTATGATGAACCAGCCTTCCCAGAGGGCGTCTAAGGAGAAGCCTCCGTGCGGGAGGAGGGGACAGCAGGGACAGAAGGGAGGGGCCCTAATCAACGCTGACCTGATCTACCCCTGCAGCTGCTCCCTCACCACATGGCAGCCTGGCGTTGGGGCCACCAGGTCACCCCATAAGCTTGCCTACTGGACAAGGAGTGCTTGGAGGGGTAGACCATTGGTACCAAAGTCTCCACAGCCTCTAGGACAGGTGGGGGGTCAAGAGGAGAAAGAAGACACTCCTGTCTCCCAGCAGAGTGGACACCAGCCGCAGGACCCATGACCCACATGTTGCCCCAGAGAGAGGTGGGCAGGGAGCCAGGTCACAGCCTGACAGATTTCATAACTGGGAAAGATGGAAAAGGGAGGAGAGTGGGGAGCCCCAGCAGGACCCCTCAGCACTGGACAGGTGTCCCAAGTCACTAGGCAGAATAAAATGCCAGCATCCTCTACCCCTTTTCTGCTCAGTTTCTGCCGGTGAAATCCAAACTCACAGGGGGCTGGGCTTGGTAAAGCCCCTCCCAGAATCCCAGCTGTGGCCTGGAGTCACAGGGGCCAGCCCCCTATTGCCCGGCATGGGGCCAGAGATACCTAGGCCTTAAAATGAGGTGGGCTTGTAGGGTCACAGAGAAGCAGCGGCTCATAGTATTCCAGGAATCTGGGCCATAATTTCCCCATTTTATAGATGGGAAATTGAGGCTTACAGAGATAACGTGACGTACCCCAGGTACAAAACTCATTGGCTGCGCAGAGCAGCATCCGGAAGGCAGACTCAGCACACCCTGCCCAGCGTTCATTCCCTACACTGATTCTTTAAGCCCTGGCTCTGAGCTGGGTCCTAAATCCTGTCAATGACCGGGAATTGTGGGTGGAGACACGCCTCCCTCCCCGGACTCAGACTCCAAGTTCCCTTCCGCAGCGTCTTAGTTCTAGATTCCACGCCTCGGGCGTTCCAGGGGTCAGTCGGGAGATCTGGGCAGAGGAGCTCCAGCTATGGGGCCGAGACCACGTGCGTTTGGGGAGGAGCGCCCGCCTGCGAGCGGCCAAACAGACCGCTGCTCCCAAGCAGACTTCTGCAGTACAAAGCGGCGAGGCCGCTCAGCCCTGGCAGCGGCAAGCGTTGCGCCTGCGCCGCGCAAAACCCTGCAGCCTCCCAGGAAGGAGTCTCGCGGGCGGGGGAAGGGCCGGGGCACCCTGCGCAAAGCACCGGAGCGGTGAGGCCCGCCCCACAGCCTGAGCCCCTGTAACCGAAGCCCCACGGCCGCTCGGTCCGCAGAAAGTAAAACGCTCCCTCCAGCCAGACCACGAGCCCCTCGGCTCCACAGTCCCGAACCGCGAGTGCTTTCCGAGCCCTCGGTGCTCCGCCTTTGTCCGGTCCCTGAGAAGCTATGGAGAAAGGGCAAGGGGCCATAGAGGGGAGAGGAAGGAGAAGGGGGCAGGAGCGCGAGAGGTGAGGCGACCAGCGTGCCCAGGCGCCGAGGCGCCGCAGCGAGGACGGCCTAGGCTGACCCCGCCGAGGCTGACCCTGGCGCCGGCGCTGACGTTGGTGACACTGACTCCAGCTCCAGCAGGGACTTCTCTGGGCCCAGCACAAAGCACTAGTTCCTCCCGACTCTCCACCACGCCTTGCGGGAGGTTAGGGATGACGGCCACCCCCGTGTCACAGATGGAGAAGCTGAGGCTCCAGGAGGCCAAGCGCCTTGGCTGGAACCCGATTCCGTGGTTCCGGCCCCGGCTTTTCTGGCCCTGAAGCCTTCCAGTCGGGCTCCACTCGGGAGTTTAGCTCCCAAGTGAGGTCAGGCCACCAAGAAAGAGGATGGGTGGAAGGAGCTAAAGAAGGGGTGGGGAAGAGGCGACTGCCCTCTCACCATCTTCCTCCCTCACTACCACCGGCACCGGCACCGCACACACCCGCACCGCACACACCCGTGCTGTAGACCTCCCACCGCAGGGCGCCAGGTTCAGGACCACGGAGAGCTCCAGCGCCACAGAAAGAACCACCTGCCCGCGGAAGGAGATCCACTACTGTGTCTACCAGTCCCCAGCTCCTATTCCTCCAGGAAGCCCTCCCAGATTTCTGTCTGAGTCAAGTTCTGCCTCTCTCCGAGCTCATTTCCTGTCTCTCATAGCATTTAAGGGGGGAATGGTGAATTAAAATGATAATGATAATAATAAAAGACACTAACAAACATTTATTGAATGCTCACTGCCTACAGGCATTAACTGATTTAATTCTCACAAAGAATCTGTGGCTCGCCCTAGCCTGGGAATTCCTGGAGGGTGGAGCCCGGTTGCCGAGCCGGAGACGGGCTCCCTGGGGCCTGGCGCATGGCAGCGTTCAGGCCCGGGCCGGGGTCCTGGACCACGGACCACGCCGACAGCTCCCCGCCATCCGGTGCTCCGTTTTCCAAGCACCTAGCTGTCTCTCGCCCATCCACCCAGAGGCTATGCCGTCTGTCCACCGTCTTCCTGTCCCCTTCCCTTCCCCCAGTTGGAGGGTGATGACCACAGGGCCTAAGTCCTGGTGTTCCCTTCCCTAAGGAGCTCCCCTTTCAGGCGCAAAATAACCCCAAGTCGGGGGGGCTAGAGACCCCAGTTCCAATCCCAGCTCTACTTCCCACTTGCTCTGTGAAGTGGGCACAGTGGTGTCGAGCCATGGGACTCAGGAGGAACCCTTGGCGACAGCGGCACTTGGGCAGGGGTACCGGTTCTAACTGCCAGACGACCTCAATCTGTAACCACATCCTTCCCCCAAAGCATGAGGGGCCCTCAGAAAAATGCTCCTTTCAGCGTGAAGGCGCAGACGGTTCGCTGAGCCTCTCCCATCCCAGCGCCTGCCGGGTACATAGTAGGTGCTCTATAGTTACCGCCGAGTAAGCGAATAGATGAATGGACGAATATGGAGCAGAGCTCTCCTCCCCCCCCCCAGCAAAACAGAATGAGGAGCCTTGGGCTAATTTCATCCCAGGGGTCCCTTCGCAGTTCAAGGGTCCATGAGGCAGCCCTAGCCAACTTCCCCTCTCACAACCTCGCTGTCCCTTTCTGCAGAAGATTAGCTGGGATGGGACCTCAGAGGTCCCTTCGAGTCTCACGGATTGTACCGGCCAAAACTGACCAAGTCGCACACCCTCTCGTATGGTGAGGTGGGGGAGGGGCCGTTCCGCGGCTCTCCCAAGCCCAGTGGCTGCGACCCCAGCACTACTGCCTGGGCACTGCCCTTGGGCGGTCCCCGCCCAGGGTCCTCGAGAGCCCCGCCCCCCACGTCCGGCCTGCGCGCGCCCCGAGGTACCTGGCCATTGTCCCGGCCGAGTGGCAGGTCGCGGGGCGCAGGGCAGCGGATGTGCAGCGCCTGCGGCCGCTCGTCGCGCTCGCCTGGCGAGCTGACCGCAGAGCCCGAGGGCTCGCTCACATCGCTGGCCGTGTCCTCGCTGCCGCCGGGTCCCGGCAGGCCGACCGCGTCGGGCCGGCCAGCGCTGCGCGGCGTGCGCGCCGAGCCGCGGCGGCCCACGCTGTACGCGTCGAAGTCAATGGTCTTGTTCTCGTAGGCTCCCTCCACCGCGGCGAACATGCCGCCGTACTTCTGGCGCGGGGTCTGCGCCGCGCTGCCCGGCCGCGCCAGGTACACGGGCAGGTCGTCCTCCGTGTTCCACGCGCGCCGCCGGTCCGCCATCCCGCTCCAACGCCGGCCACCCGCCCGCGGCCCTCGCCACCGCCGCGCGCCGCGCTCCGCGCCTCGGTGCGGGCCTGCGGCGGCCCTGGCGCGACTGCGGCCACAGGAGGGGAGAGGCGAGGCGGGGCGCGCGCCGGGGCGGGGCCGGGGCGGGGCCGGGGCGGGGCCTCCGGGCGGCTGCGGGCTCGCGCAATGGCCGGCTACAAAGGACCGGGAGCGGGGACCGCGGCTGGGGCGGGGAGTGATGGTGACGTGTCGGAGCCGCAGCGCGGAGGGCGGGCGGCAGAACCGCAGTGCCCTCTCGTCCCCCCTCTCCCCGCCCCCCGTCGGAGTGCAGGGCGCGAGAAGAGCGAGCGGCACACACGTGCACACACCCTCTGGAGACACACAGGTTCATGCCCTCACACCAATGGCACCAAACACGCGAGAAATGCACAGCCGTGCTGGTGCACATACGAGAGTCAATTACACAGGCGTTCCCGAGACCCAGGCTCATGTAGGAACACCATAGACAATTTTGCACACACGTACACATAGATGCTTGTACACATTTTGAGTTCAGTACACACACACACCAGAAATTCTCATTATCACACAACATTCGTACATAGCATCGCACCAAGACTAAGTGCACAGCCATGAGACACACACATCGGGCACACCATTCATTCACTCCACACTAGTTTATGGAGTGCTCACTAGTGCCTGGCACTGTTGTAGGTACTAGGGACAGAGTCATGGACAAAAACGGGCGAAGTCCTGCCCTCCTGGAGCTGACCTTCTAAGGAAGAAGGAGACACAAAGCGCTCATACGACATAGCCAGGGATGCTGAAGGCCAGGAAGGCTGGTGCAGCCGCAAGAGGGACGCGCTAGTAGCACACTCCCACAGGCACGCAAGAGAAATACACGTGAACCAGTGACTCACACACGTACATGATGCTCACTCCAGTAACACTGCATGACAAAGAAATTTTCACATGCCAATTCCAAAGGCGGACTCAAAAGGCAACTCCACACACATGCACTCATAGACTCCCGACAGGACGCCCACACACAAATCCTCGCCAGAAATAAGGGAAGCTGGAAGCTTAAATAGAAACGCTCCAGAAAAAGACACAAAGAGATAGATTACCACCCACACGACACACACATGCACCTGGCAGTCACCCAAATAGCCCCATCCTAGGGTCACCTCCCAGATCCTGGGTAGAGCATACCCTTGCTGCGCCTGGAGTTTGCAGCCTTGGGGGCCCAGGGTTCCTCTGACTAGGACATGGGGCAGAGCGCGGGACCTGTCTCGTTCTACTGAGGCTTTCCACTGCCCTCTCTGAGGCCAGGCTCCATGCGCCTCCCCTGGACACTTTCCCTTGTTTCTCCATGATTACCAGGCAGAGGGGCCTAAGAGCCCCCGGGGACCTAGTGGTCCCAGCTGCACTTTCTGGACAGGCGGAATCGCCAGCTGCCAACACCTCCTCGGGCGAGTCCAGACGCGCTGAGTCTGGACCCGGTGGGGACCACAGGGGAGAGCGGAAGCCCTCCGGCCTCCCAGCGCTAGGAGCTGTCCTTCAGCACCCAGCCGTGCAGGCGTGAGCTCAGCCTAGCCAAGCCCTGACACACCCAGACTGACAGTGGGATTCACACTCTGGTTTGCGGCTCTTGGGACCCATGGACTGAGGACTCTGGGGACCTCGGATCCATGGCCTCAGCTGACACTCCTTGCGTTTACTGTCTTTCAGCCCTAGAACAAGCCAGTCTGTGCAGTAGCAAGATACTCTTACTCCCCACTGTGCAGCCCAGGAAATAGGCAAGGAGGAGGGAAGCAGCTGCCTCTGCCAGGATCTCACAGCCACCCTGCCACGCCTGGATCTCGGGCTCATCTGCTCAATGGGCCTGTAGCAAGTCCATTTCTGTGTCTGTGAGAGACTAGTGTGGGGGCCACATGCATATTTATAAAGCCTCTGCCTTCAACAAAGGTATATTTTATGGGGAAAGAGTGCTGAACACAAGAACAGAAAGTATCTCATGCATACCCTGGATCTGCTATCTTCTACCCAACCCACCCACATCCCAGCCCCTCCTTCCGCTTGTCCCCCCTCACGTACCCTGCACATGTTTCTGTCACAGACAGCCCTCTTGAGGTCCAAAGGATTCCAGGCTGCACGTGTTTTCCATTATGAAAATATCTGCCTGTCCTGTGAAATACTATTCCCAGGCAAGGAAATTTTGTGTTGAAGAGCACATAGAAACTTCTAAAGCTCCAAAAATATTTATAGTGACTTAACCCATAGAAATATCAGAAAATCCAAGAATCTGAGTTAGAACTTTTGAGGTCAATCCTCCTACTCCATGCTTGAATCTGCTCTCAATGTCTTGAGAAGACAGTCTCCCAGCTTTGCTGATAGTGATGGAGATCTTTCTATTTTTGAAGAAAACCTTTTCCATTGTGAGAACGGGCTGGGCAATCCTCAGGACTAGAGGAGTGATCTAGGGCAGGCATGGAGAAGCAGCTGTCTTCATGCGGAAGCAAGGATGGATACTACAGCTTCCACGTACGAAAGTTTACTACACGCTAGGGACCCTTGTGGGCACTTAACATACAGGAACTCTTTTATGCCCCAGAGAAACCTGTGAGGCGACATTTTAGCTTCATTTTACAGACAAGGAGACTGAGGGTCAGAGGCATAAATAACTTGCCCAGGGTCACAGCTGGCAAGTGAGACTGCTAGGGTTTAAACATGGTAGTCTGATGCCTTAACTACGATGCTTTTCTCTCCCTGAAAAGCCCGACTGCCGCAGTCCCAGTGGGAGAGGAGAGATAAAGGGACCTGGTGTATTCAGAAGAGTCTAGATGTGTGAGTTAGAATCCTGTTCTCTGTGCAATCTTGGACAATTATTCACTCAATGTTCATCCAACACGCGTTTGGGGCACCCACTGCTGTCGCAGAGCTGGTACCCCTCCTCTCTCCCACTACAAAGGAGGAGATCTGATGCTTGGGGGACACGGGCCATGCATAGTGGCTTTGTGCATGTCATTCATATCTGCAGTGCACACGGTAGGCTTCTTCAGCAGCCCCATGTGGCAGACCATGCCACTTCCCTCCTCAGGCTGGAATGCTGAGGATGACAAGCCTTAAACCCATTGCTCACGTTAACCACCAGAAAGTGGCTGAGCTGGGATTTCAACTCAGGTTTGTCTGGGCCCTTTCCACAACATTTCAATTCATCTCAAGGACAGTAACCCAAGCGTAGCAGAGAAAGGGAGGCAAGAAGCAACCCCCGGGGTATACGTTAGGAAATGCACCCACCAGCTTGCAGGGAGGCTGAGGAGAGCAGAGCCTGGCAGAGACCAGCAGAGGAAGCCCAGGAAGCCTGAGGAAACCACCCTCGCCCTGTCCTGCAAGTGCCCCAGTCCTGTAGGGAAGGAGTTCCCATGAGTGAATGACACCGTGACATTTGGTGAGGGACAAACCTTGGGCTCACCCTGTCAACCATGAAGCCTTCCAGGCTGACTGCAGAGAACAGAAAGGGACATGCCAGATGGCGGCAGAGAGAGGACAGGAGAGGCCAGCTCAGATCCAATGCAAATTTTGTTTAGGCAGACAAAAAAAAATTTTTTTAATGGCATTAGTTGTAAAAAAAAATGTTTTCAAAAAATGAAGGAAGGAGAATTGTAGTTTATTGTCAGATGTATAATACATTTAGCAAATCTGCAAGGCAAGTAATGGACTATTGTGTTTACCTTAGATGTGAGAAGAGAGGTTTATAGAAGTTGGGCGAGCTGTCTAAAGTTATATGGCCAGCAACTGACAGAGATGCAGTTTCAATCCAGGCCCATTTGATTCTAAATGTCTGCTTTTCAGTATGTAGGGGATTGTGGTAGGTAGAGTAATAGCCCTCAAAGATGTCCAAATTCTAATCCCTAGAACTGGTGCATATGTTACTTCCCATGGCAAATAGGTCTTTGTGGGTGTGCTTAAACCAAAGATCCAAGATAGGGAGATGATCCTCTATTATCTGGTGGAGCCAGTGTAATCACAAGTCCTTTTTTTTTTTTTTGTTTTCATTTTGAGTCAGAGTCTCACTCTCTCACCCATGCTGGAGTGTGTGATGCAATCATAGCTCACTACAGCCTTTAATTCCTGGGCTCAAGTGATCCTCTTGCCTCAGCCTCCCAAGTAGCTAACACCACCGTGCCCAATTAAGTTTTTTATTTCTGTAGAGATGGGGTTCTCGCTATGTTGCCCAGACCAATCTCAAACTCCTGGCCTCAATCGATCCTCCCACCTTGGCCTCCCAAAGTGCTGGGATTACAGGCATGAGACACCACACCTAGCCTCACAAGTGTTCTTTTAAGTGAAAGAGGCAGAACAGTCAGAATCACAGAAGGAGACCTCAGAGAACAGAAGCAGAGGTCAGAGATAGGAGAGATCTGAAGATGCCATGATGCTGGCTTTGAAGATGGAGGGAGGGGCCATGAGCCAGAGAGTGTGGGCATCTGCAGAGGAACTCAGCCCCACCGACACCTCGATTTTAGCCCAGCAAGACCCAATTAGAATTCTGACCTTCAGACTATAAGATAATAAATGTGTGCTGTTTTTAACCACTGGCTTCATGGTAATCTGTCAAAGCAGTAACAGGAATACAGGCATACAATGGATCATAAAGGGAAACAATTGTTTGTGCAAAGTGGATTTAACTACTGAGAAAATAACTTACTCCCCACCAAAAATTGAGAGGGGTCCTGGATTCATTGTCTTATTATGTTATGTCAGGGTATACAACATTTCGTAACAAACCATTAATAAATTAAACATTCAAAAGGGAAAAAAACTTTTAATTGTGAAAAAGCATTCATTTCAATGTACAAAATTACACAAATTATACATTTAACTAACATAGAAAAATACATCTCGATAACAAGAGAAAATGCCAGCCTATTTTATACAGGATTAAGCAATCATTACAAATTTTGAAAAGTCCCAAAGGAAGGGTTGAGCCTGACTCACAGCTGGCCAGGAAGCTGACGAGCCTCTCTGAGGACTGACCGCCCTATTGTTCCATGGCAGGCAGTGGGCAGGGGACAGCTCCC